CATGGAAAAATGGTGAAAGTTCATATGAAAATTCGTATAAAAATTAGAAAGTCCCTATAACCGTATTTTTGGCATAAAATCTCACAAAAAATGGCATTTAAATTATAGATAATAATCCCCTTTCATTGTGGTCAGGATTGGGACCATTGGAGACAAGAAAGTGCAGATTTTGGAGCTTTGGAATGCAAGTTAATTCAACCACACAAAAAGATTTTGGAATTCATCATTTCAAGTAAGTTTCTTAATCCGAAATTCATGTCAAATTATGCTGCGAATTCCTATAGTTGACAAAGTCAGTGACTTTAATGACATGAATGAAAACTCCAAGTTCTTGGATTAATTAAATATACTTTGTGTGAGTATGAAATTGCAATCTTCCGTATCACTCACTGTTCTAGTGTAATTAATAGTGTGAGATTTGAATTCTTTGTTAGGTAAACTAATTATGAAACTTGAAAAACAATCAAGTTGAATATTAGCTAAGCCAATTTCTTGATTCATCTTTTCTCACTACAAAAACAATAGTGGTTAAGAGAATTATTATGGTAGTGGTGACCCGCAAACAGCTTATCTAACCTGTCAATCTTCCATTTCACACTATAATTACTCGTAAATTATGTTACTAATTTACACTTAAATATTTAGAGAAAGTTAATCTTAAATGACCATAAAAATGTAAAGAGACATGTAGAATAAATCAAAAAAGTCGAAACTTTTGTTCAAATAAGTAGATTATAATAGTGAAAAGAAATAATTATTAACCAAGAAAAAGGAAAACAGCAATCAAATCAACTTTTTTAACCTCAAACTCCACGAATCCATCTATATATACATATTCAGCCACTTCCTATCTCTATTTATAGCTTACATTTTCTAGAAAGAGGGATTGTATTTGTAGCCCTCTCTCTATATATATGCATACTTATCTGTTTGAAGAAGTAATGAAGGCCATGAAGATGAAGATGCTGGCAACTGCCTTGATGGTCATCATGTTGATAGCACTCTCCTCCGTCAATGGTATCTCCGCCGCCGATCCTCCGGCTCCCGCCCCCACCTCTGACGCCACCCCCGCCACCTTCATTCCCACCTTCTTCGCCTCCGTAGCAGCCCTCGTTTTTTGTTTGGTGTAATGTAACTCTTAAGTTTGTTTGTTTGTTCGTTCATTTGTGAGTTTATTTTGTATGTAAAATTATGATCAGATTAGTATTATTGATTAATGAGAGATATTAATTCATTTGAGTACCTCTTAAATATCTATTTTTAGTAAGAAATACAATAAACGGAAAATACCTACAGTATAATATTGAATTCGTCACTGGTATTATATTGTAGTTTTTGGGTTGGCGACATCAATCAAGCAACTTCAACATTATCGACCGCTTGAAAATCGTTTGTATAGTTCAAGAAGAAACAAATCTGGCATTGTCTACTATAATTTCAATAAATATACAAATGTGTTTCTCGTTCTTCACACTGTCACTCAAAACTTACAAGACTTGCATCTCAATCTCATCGTCTTGCATTAAGAGTTTGCCACCTTCATCGAGGTTTCACATAATTTTCAAAAGGATATGTTCTTTCACTCTCTCTAAATGGATTATTCTCAAAAAATTTCCCCTTAAGTATTTCAACTTATTTGAAACCCAAAGTATTTGATTAGTTTTATGTTTGGGGTTAAATGTTAATACTTTACTCAGAACAAAACGTATTTTTATCATAAAAATTTAAAACGTTTTTGTACTTTTGTTTAAACTAAATTTCACATACGTCAATATCAGCAACCTTAGACTTTTCTTTTTGTTAGGAAAGATACATGAAGTGAAAAATGACTTTTTTTTTTTTTTTTTTTTAAAAATAAAGTCATAGATTCATGTGGAAAATTATTTCATTAGAAAATGTGCGATTGAAATGTGTTTGAGGAAAACTTATTTTAAATAAACAAACGTAAAGTGTATTAAAAGTTGTGAGCACATGCATAAATATTACTTCTTGAAGTGGATAAATATTTACAACTGTACTAACATGTCTGTGTGTTTAATTAATAATTATTAGAATTAAGGTCAGTGACTAGAAGATGGATGGAGGAAGGGCATACGTCAATTCATCCATATATCGTTTGAGAATTTGATCACTGCATGCTCCCTCCTTACTTTTCTTCCTCTCACTAATTACAAATTATTATCATTAATGGTAGTGCTAAATATATACATAAAGGTTGACGCAATGGTGGATTAATCACCATGGAGGAGGCTTCCTTTGGGGAATGAGTAAAAGCCATGTGGGAACCTGGGAACCAACAAGGACACATCCTGCGATTTATCTCCCTGAGCAGCTGAGGGCCCGGAGGTTCAGGAACGAGGATATATAGTCTGGCGCAAGCTGGGACACCTCGTTAAAAAAAAAAAAAAAGGTTGACACAATGGTTAACTCCCATGTAGGTTGACAAATTTTTGGTACATTGATCTTGACATTACCTTTTTCAATCACCGGTAGATTTTTGACACATATATAGAATAATGTCAATCAAACTTTGCGTATACAATTATTTGTAAGCGTTGAAGAAGTAAATTTGATAGATACATGATTGATGTGAAGGTTGGCAAGTTGTTTGAAACAACAATAAGAGGATCATTATTGAGAAAAACATAGAAAGTTTCCCTTTTTCTGGCACAATGACAACAAAAGCGGCAAATTTTCAGGTTCAAACTTCTCGTCGTCTCTTTTCAGTTCCAATTCCAATTCCGACAGTTTCAAGTTGTGCAATTTACAAAAGCAAAGTTTATTATGAGCTTGCATGTTAAGGCTGTGTATCAAAAGTACTGCATTATGAGGACATTTATTGTATGCCACGATTTACAACTTGAATGTTGTTTTAAATAGGTAGCCTTAATGCCTTAGTATAACGATTAGTCCAAGCCTTTTATATTTAATCGATGTCAATTTAACACTTCTCATGACAATCATCCTTGAACACTACTTTCCAAATCATCTTCTTTTTCACCTTCCCAACACAATGGAATTGCTACCATATTCATTCTGGTCACTATTTCGTTTATGCTAATTATGCAATTCTTTGGTCCAACAATCAATACAAGAAATGACAGTAAGTGGCGAAGAGAGATAGCAGATGTCAGCATTTTGCTCAAGCAAAAGAATATAATCAAAACAAATGTCTGGATTGTTAAATTAAAACAATTTCCCATTATTTTCAAAACCAATTTGGAAGAAATTTGAATTCTCCAAATCCCTAGCCTGAGAAATGTCTACCGCAAAAATATAATTGATCACTGTAAAAAAATTCCCACAACTTTGTGGGTGTAAAATTTCAGGAGCAAGAAGCCAGAATATTATTATGATAGAAGGTCAACTTCAATGAAGAGCTCTTACAACCCAGCAAATTTCTCCAATTTCTGAATTTGGTTCAGGAATATCCACGTCATCTGCATCGACACAAGTTTATATGATCAGAAAATTAAGTAGAAAATGCATATGCAGCCAATAACTTGGCAGATTTGGAGGTGTACCATGACATGAGGTGCGATTCTAACACAATATACTGGAAATCCAGTGTACAATTTGAATGGCCCTCCTGACTTGAGAGTTTTCATGGCACAATCTAAAGAACCGGTGTATGGATAATTTCCTTGTGCATCTGGCTGCATTTTCTGTATTTGGGTTTTCACATAATCAAATGGTAAACTGCAAGCTGCTGCAAAGAATCCGGATACCGAACTGGCCCCTGAAAAAAAATAAAAATTCAAGAACCGGAGGCCAGTGATTTGCATATACATTAACTTACATCTTATATTATCATAAATAAATTGGACAAGTTTTTGGAATAAATACAGATATCAAAGCAAGGCAAAGGATAAAGGTGGATCAGAGTATCTTACCTACCACAGTAGTAGCCTCACCAAAACCAAGAGAATCCCTGCAGAACTCCGCACTTTGTTCGTAAGAGGCAAGCATTCCCATGTTCAGTGCCATAGCCCTGACCACAGTAGGGCCAGCACCTTTCCACAGTGCCAAAACTCCCTCATCAGCAATGATACGATAAAGGGCATTGAATGCATTTGAGTAATTCCGTCGCTGGGCAGCCGGTAAGGTCGCATCAGCTTGCATGCGTATGAGTGCCAAATCTGCAGGACTACCAACAGATGCTCCAATTGCTCCAGCAGTCAACCCACACAAAGCCTTTTGATAAAGTGGTAATGGCTTCCCATCATTGGCCTCAAGTGCTTTGTTCGTCAAAATCCTTTGACAAGAATGTCCTTTTTTATCATTCAAATTATATTATATATAAAATTACCCATGTAATAAACACATGTACATACAGAGAGATATAGTTACAAAATGACTGATGCTTCTCCTAGGATCCGTTTGATTGCAAATGTGGAAAAGGCAAACTAATTTTTTTTAAGTTGGAAAAGAAAAAACCACCAAAACCATAGGAATTTGATTTCCATGGAATTGGCCAAAAAACATGCTTTGAGTGTTTATACCTTGGAATTCGAACTCCATTTTCACTTTCATATCAAACAGCCAAATTAGAAAATGAATTCCTCGAATGTGACATTCTCCATGGGATTCGTTGCAATCAAACAGACCTTTAGTGATTTAAGGCTAGTAGAGGTGTTATCCATCACTTTGTATATGACAACATCAAGATAAGTGCACAACTGAGATGTACGATAGGTGAACTTGTAAATGAATGCTCTAATGAAATAAGATAACATCAAGCTCAGTAACAAATATCGAACAAGGGCACCCAAGTACAATGACCAAATTCAACGATGGTTAGTGCAGTGAATAAGCTTATTCAAGAAATTTTAGCGTTGTTGAATTTGTTGGTTAGTGAAACAAATTTTGGGTTCCATTTCATCAATACTAGCTATCCAAGACAAAGATAAATTCTGTCCAGTAAAGGATTCTTACTATCCAAGACAAAGATAAATTCTGTCCAGTAAAGGATTCTTATACACTGTTGAATATTAATCACAATGATTAGCAGCATGTATCGGGAGGGGAGAGGAGGGAGGTAAGATGATGAACTACACAGATTAGTGCGAAATCTATTTTCAAATACTCCCAGATGGTTTTTCAGATGACTAATTATGAGCATAACTATAATTCTATTCAATTCATGGTGCTTATGAGTGCATACTCACTTAAATGTTCCAAGGCGGGCAGTGGTATATGTAGCTTGTCTAAGAAGCCCAGCAGACAAACCCTGCAGAATCAATAATCATATAATTATTATACAAGGTAATGTTTTGATAATATGCAGTGCTAAAAGGTGCAAAGATGAACATCAAATAATTCACATTGAGCTTAGAAGAAGCAATAACAATTCTTATCTAATGTTAGTGGTGCAAGGCACATGGGGGCTGCCCACTGCCCAAGCATTTGAACCAGCTTCAGTAATAGATCCACGTTAATTTTTAGGTGTAGAATCTTATTTGACTGTCAAAAAATATGTAATACCAAGTTTAAGTAAAGATTGATGATCTGTATAAAGTGTTGTATGAAATGATATTAACTATTTCCAATTCTAATTCGTTTCACTTTTATCATGTTGTGCTAAAAATAATTTGAAACTGATTGTACATTCATACTAGTGAAAAACAATTATACTACAGAATTTAAATTTAAATATTCTAAAATGGGAATAATTAAAAGATAACATGTATTCAATAATTGACGCCACAGCAGGCGATCTACTGCTACCTCTTCGGTACTAACAATAGCATAAGATCAGTCATTATGGAAACCCACAAACCAATTAAAGAACGAAGCGCTTGGCACCACAAAAAGTTTAGAAAGTACAACTGGCATGATGCAGAGTTAATAATGCACGATAACTTGTAACATAACAAACAACTTCAATAACACTAAAATAGATCATGATGATTAGTAACATCAACTTAATGTTTGTCTTTTATGGTAAGGCATCTTCAATTCATGTAAAGTTTTATTCTTTCAAAACTGCATATGATTGAAATTTTACTACCACAATAATGTAATCTTCTTTTCTTCCTCAAGAAGATAATTTACAAATAAATAAAAATGAAATTATTAACTCAAGACAAATAAAACTAAACAACTGCCAGTCCCAGAATGCCAAAAATAATGGGCCCTGCTGGCCCAATACATCTTATGCCCCTTTCTAATATGGCATATAGGCATGTTGAGAGCAACTATAAACATAATAGCAAAAGGATGACACTTTAATTAAGTCTGATTTTCCATTTACCTCTTTCATTAAGAGTAAACTACTAATATGAACCTATTCAGCTCCCCGTTTTGTTGGGGAGAGGTGTTGGTGACAAAATTGTAACTGCAACTTTTTAAAACTACAACTAAAATCAAATCCCATATGCATTGACTCAAAACTCCAAGAATTGCAGGTCCTTCCCAGTATAACATAAAGGATTGTACTCAGCCTATTTGTACCACATCCAGAGATTGGGAACTTTTAACAGAGCTTTTCAATCAACTAAAGAAAAGCTATGGGCAAGGAATGTAACAATAACAAAAGACAAACTGCCAAATATTTCCTTACTGCCATTCAAAATTAAAATCAGACATGCAAACTAATTTTGACTGTTGATCCAAATCCTTTTAATGGTCCATCTTTTAGCACAAATGAAAGCACGTAAAGGTTAATGATTGGAACTAAAGTGTTTAAAAAAAACAAACCTTATAAAAGGCACCAACACCCTCATTTTTAAGCATGTTCTTTGTCACCTCAGCAGCTGATCCCTGACCCAATTGTATTCTGACCTGAAATTCAGAAATCAGACCCATTGATCAAATCAAAAGCAACCACTCATTGTAAGTGCAATTTTTAAATAATTGAACCATTAGATTGAAGGAGAACCTCAAAGATTTCATTTTATTTAAAACTTAATAGTGATATACAAATTACGAAGGTATTCTCTTTAAGACCTTTTTCAACAATCTGACTTATAAAAACAATTTCCCTTTATTCAACTCTCTGGATCCAAGATCTAACACCCAACACCCACCAAGAAACTGATTTTACGAAGCGAAAACAGATTAAATATTAACTACACCAAAATGATTCAAAATAATTAAGGAAAAAAACCATTTGATCCAAGATCTAAAACCCTGTCAATTACCCATTATTCATCAAACCAAAGAACATCACCAGAAAAGGGGAAAAAATATTACCTTGATCATGTCGATGGGTTGGATGACACATGTAGCAAGCATTCCAGATGCACCTCCATTAACGAAGGGCTTGACGGTTGGCCACACTCCAGCTGGCTTTGGCTTACCCTCTCCCATTCTCCCTCTACTTTTCCTTTTTCTCTAGATTTGTAACGCAAGAGAGAAAGAGAGTTTTTTTTTTGGTTGGTGAAGAACCCGAGGGTTTGTAGTTTGTATTTTCGAAACTGGAAAGAGAGCTTTTATAACACGGTCGCAGTTGCACAGCCAGCTTATAATACTTTATTCGATTAATTTTTTTCTTCCTTAAATAATTGCCCCGTTTGTCTGTCGAGAATTAAAATAAATTTTTTAAGTAAAATTTGATAAAAATTGATAAAATATATAATTAAAAAGTTGTGAATTTTATAAAATATAGTTAAAATTAATTATTGATTTTAACTTAAATTAATTTCTATAAAATAAGGGAGATATTACATAGTACAAATCTAGATGATATTGGACTCTATAAGAAATACGTGAGAATTTGCACTTGTCTATTTCATATAAAATAGAATTTTCAGTTTTTTACTTATAATTGAATTGTTTGACATCAAACATTGATCCCCTAATTTAGCTTCATTAAAATTTGAATACATTTTTCTCTTTTTTCTTTTCAATCACACATTTTCCATAAAATAATATCTATAAATTTAATTTTTTTAATTATACATTTTCCAAAAAGTCACTATTTTAAAATATATTTTCTTTCAAAATTTCATTAAAATCATGCCATTATTTGAGCCACATTCTTTTCATAAAAAAGCATTTTCGAATAGTGTATTGATGATAAATGTGCAGTTAAAAATAATGAAAACTTTTGAATTTGCGTGTAATATTATTTTATTAAATAATATGTGGTTGAAATGATCTCAAATCATTGTTTAAATATGTATTTTTTCTAAAGAATATCTAACATTGGCACATGACTTTTGCCCAATTTTTTCTTGCTTAAAAAACAACAAACTGATGTTCATTCCCGATAAATTTGAGTTGAGCTACATAAATCCTCTCTGCTATTCATAACCAAACAATGACTAAATAGGTTATCGTTTAGTATTTCATTTTTACTAGGGATCATGTTACTTGTACATCGGGATTGACACCCCGGTGTATAGACCCCCTCAAAAATATGGGGGTCCACAATTTTTTTATTCATCGTAGGCCCTTCCTTTTTGTGAGGGATCGGTCAACTCTGGTGTCCAAGTATCAAAATCTTTTTCCTAATTAGAACAATGAATGGACATTATGGTAATTATCATTTGACACCACAAATGTCTGCTTGTGCTAAAATAGACCTCAAATGACTTTCGTTTTCTTGGAGATTCAATTTGGCGGAACGCTTAGAATATTTAATTTATTTTGGAGACCCCACACCCAACAACTTGCACCCAAATGCCAATGGCAATACTTTCTATTAAACGTAATAAAATCTGCGTTTTAGGGGTGATTGCGGAAGCAAAAGAACAAACAGTACGAGGAACTCATTTCAGCCAATATTAGTAGGGAAAATGCCAAACGAACATAATAGTTGACACAGAGAATGACACCAGAGGCGGAGCCATGTATGGTTGAGTGCAAGCCAATGCCTACACTCAACTTTGGGAGAAGAAAAGTTGGTCATGCAAGTTGGATATACTCTATGTTTGATATCCATGCACATTGCCCATAAAAATTGGAAAACCAGCACTTTGAGAGGAAAATTGGAAAAAATGTTTGTCTTAATAAAAAATTTGTGTCCGCACTGAAAAAAATTTCTAGCTCCGCCCCTGGATGACACCACACTCACAGTCGAGGTGTGGGTCCCGCGCGAATAAAATAATACCGACCTCTCATGTGAGTGTATTATGTCAACCAATGTGGTAGTGTAGCATGGTTGATATTAGTACTCCATAATGTCCCTGAGAAGATCATCAGTTTTCGTTAATAAATTAATTTTATGCTCCGAATATTTCATAGACGATATAGTTTTAATTGCAAGTTGAAATTTTTATTGTGTTACCATGAAAAATTTTACGGGTGAAAAAAAAAATCGATTTGCTGATAATTGAGTAATTAATTTTCAATCTTAACAAGGAAGAAGAAATTGAAGGTGATGCAATAAGTACTACACAAAATGTATAGCATTTTAGATGAATCGATTACGAGATAAAAATAGCAACAAATAGTGGGTTTACAGAATGATATATGTGGAAGCGACGTCGATAAATAATAAATGATGCTTAGGCATACCACTGGCACTTCATATCTGTTCTTCGTCTGCATAATTCTATGATTGTAAACGTATTGTTTTATATTTCAATTCATGGTAATTGTAATTTGAGTGTATGGAATTTTGCTTTTGCTGGAAACAATTATTTAATTTTTCCCATTCTGTTAAATCATTTACCATTTTTATATTTGATATATTTCTAAGTTTTAAAGCTTTTCGTAATCGTGGAATTGTGATTGACTCATCGTGTGTGGTTGGTTGATCTTCTCTTTATTGGATAATTTAATAGTAAGAATTTGACCAAGAATTTAAAAATAATAAAAATAAATAAATTATTGGATCATTATTGGAAATATGGTTTACACAAAGGTGTTGGAGAAGAAAAGAATAAAAATACGAAGAAACAAAAAGGAACAACAAAATAATTGAATGAAAGCTCAAATACGTAATCATTGTTCTCAAACGATATTTGTCCCCTCTCGAATTGAATTCGATGCTTAAAGGGATTCTTGGCAAAATGGTTTGCAAGATTTTTCAAGCCTTGAAAAGAAGTAACATTCAAGCACTTAGTGAAATCCTCCAAAACTTAAGAACACAAATCGGGATTTGAATATGATATAGAAGGATATTTTTTGATCTTTTGTGAAGCATATAGTTTTTCTCTAATGATTCTAATTATATTTTTTTCTTTTGCTTTGATGATTGAATTCCTATTTATAAGTTTCAATTGATACTCCACAAATTGGTGCCAAAACTCACAAAAATATGCAAGACATCCTCCAAAAAACCACCAAAATTCAAAAAAAAAAAAAAAAAAAAAAAAAAAAAAAAAAATGGTGTCCTAACAATTAGCAAAAGTGTTCTATGCGGTCGCATAGAACAAACATGTGCTATCGCATAGTTTGTTCAAAGGTTGGGCCTAAATAAGCATGTGATCGCACGCCATAATGGCATGTGCAGTCGCATAGGTCAACATGTTCAGCCTCGATTTCACTTTTAATTTTACACACGTTTTATTGATTTTTGAACAATATAAAACAATCATATCGTATGACTTTCCTTTTGAGAAATGATTAATCCAATAAAATAGTACCTAATAAAATGTGAAATACTTCTGTCTCGTTGAACAAGAGATAAATGGTTTTAAACTCAAAAAGTGTAAAAGCAAGCAGCATCTTTAATTTGTTAGCTATCAGTTACTCTTGAATTTTACAACTTCTCATTTTCATGCATTGGTTTTGTTGTGAAACTGGTGCAAGGAAGCATGTCCCCCAGCTATTTTTGTTGACCTTGAATTGAACCAGCATTATTGATGAAGTCAGAACAAGGACTTATCGCCAGCTCATTATACTGCCAACAATTTTGCCGGAGGACATTATAAAGAACGTGTTTAGCAAAAACTGTTGGAAAATAATGTTGGGATGGAGAAGAGACAAAAGAGAGAATACAAAATATGTAGCAACAAAATGAAGAAATCAATAACAGTTTTAAAGGCTTAAAAGGGGTATCGCTGCCCTCAAACGTTATTTGCCCCCTTTCCGGTGATTTACGAGATGCTTAAGAGTATTCCAGCAAATGGTTTGAATGATTATAACAAGCATTGTAATCACCAAAGTATAAAGTGAAATTCTCCAAAACTTGAAGAACATAAAGGAGGAAGTTTGAGTTTGAATAGAATTTTGATCTTTTATATGTGGAATAATATTGAATTCAAGAGTTTTTGATGTTTTTTCTTTGGATCATGGCTTCTCTGTTGTTAGGTCTAAAGGTGTAAAAGGCGATTTTGTGGACAAAATGATTAAATTGTAAATTTGTAAAAGTCAGGGATTCAATTGTACAATGTTATAAAAGTCATGGATTTAGGGTGCAGTTTAGCAAAGCTAGATGGTAGGAACTAGGGTTTGAGTGTTTGGTTCAAATCAAGGTTGCGGCGCCGAAGGTTCGCTAGCTGTTCGCCCTGCCACCGCTCGAGCGAGAAGAAGCGGAATGGACGTCGCCCGGACTTCGCTCGAGCGAAGTACTGTCACTCGCTTTTCGCTCGAGCGACAGTGTTATATGAAAAATCGTATTTTCAATTTTTGGAAAGTTTGACGGGGCCTAGAATTTCAAATTGCCCCCAACTATAAATACAAAGGCCGTGAACGAAAATAAGTGATTGCTTCATTGTGCTTTCATATTAGAACACATTCATATTATTATGAAGAGATCCAAGAACAAAACCAACTAAAGAATTCATCAATCTTATTCTTGTGATCCAACAACCAATATTTTGGGGAAAAACATCAAGTTTGTGAAGATAAAACATCGGTACTTCTTCATCTGTTGAGTAAGAGACTCTTTCAAATGGGGATTGAGGGAGGTGAACGACAGCGCAGGAACTGGACAAGAACAGAAGGTTCTTGGAATTTCACTTGGTGATACAATCAACTAAAGACCAAGAGGCTGTATTGGACAGCAGATTGGGCTGTAGGAGGTAGATCGGGAAGCTAGCAGGAGACTAATAGTATCTACGGCAGTAGATCGTGAGACTGGAATAACGGGTCTGACTGGGTACGGAGTTTGGCAGAACTTGTACTTGCTGAATTGGTATAGTGGAACTTACTGGCTTGGTCCCAAAGTTTTACCCACGTTGGGGTTTCTCCGTCATCATATCGTGAGTTGTGTTTTGTATTATTTTATTTACTTCACACATATCGACATTTCAACATAGGAATTAATTGGACTGTATAGTTAATCACCTAGACAATTAATTAAAGTGACTGTTGCTTTGATTAATCAATTCCGCAGTAAGGTCGAATAATAAATTGATTGGAACGTAAACTTGGTAATTTCTAAAACTTGAATTTTACGTAGCATAACGTTCTTCGTGAATTTCCAAGTGGTTGTAGAACATTTCCTGAACTTTCAAGTGGTATCAGAGCCTAAGTGTGAATCCTAACCTTACATTAGTCTAGATGAGTATGTCGTTGAATGTGTCACCCCACTTTGATGGGAACAATTATGCATATTGAAAGGTGAGAATGAGGGCATTTTTGAAATCCTTAGATGAACGCGTTTGGCAGATTGTGGTAAATGGTTGGTCAGCCCTTAGTACCACAATAGATGGTGTAGTCACTCCCACTCCTGTCGAGAACTGGTCTAGAGCTCAATTGGATAGCTGTAATTTAAATAGCAAAGCCCTCCATACCCTATTTATGGCAGTTTACCCCGAGGAGTTTAGAAGAGTGTCCATGTGTGAGGTAGCAAAGGAAGTTTAGGATATTTTAGAAACAACACATGAGCGAACTCAGGCAGTTAAAAGTTCTAAGCTGCAGATGTTGGCCACTAGGTTTGAAGAGATAAGAATGAGAGACGATGATATGTTTGATGTCTTTTATGGAAGCTTAAATGACATAGTAAATTCGTCCTTCAACTTAGGTGAGAAAATCGCTGATCCTAAGATAGTGAGAAAGATTCTTAGATCTTTACCTGAACGTTTTAGGCCTAAAGTCGTGGCAATTGAGGAGAGTAAGGACATAGACACTATGAAGGCAGAGGAGTTAGTTAGATCCCTCCAGACCTATGAATTGACCTTAAACAATCTCGCTAAAGAAAAATCCATAGCTTTGAAAATCACTAGGAATATCCGGATGAAATCTTCTGATTCTGATTCACCCAATGATGAGGAGATGGCCTACCTAACTAAAAAATTTCGAAAAATGTTTAGGAATAACAAGAAACTTCAAGAGAGCCAAAGAGGTGGCCCAAGTAAATCTAGGAAGAAATCCAAATCCGTGAGATGCCGTAACTGTCGCGGTTTCGGTCATGTGAGGAATGAGTGCCCTAGCGCTAAGAGATTTGAAAAGAAGGCTATGAATACTACTCTTACAGATGACGAGTCTGGTTTGAACAATCAGAGTGAGAAATCCATCCGTGAGGAGAGTGGAAAATATGTGGCTTTCGTTGCAAGGGGTAAAAGTGGATCCGAACAGGGGAGTGATAGGGAAGAGGACTTAGATAGTAGTGAAGAATCTGGTGATGAGAGTGGAAGTGAGCAAGATCTAGAAACAGCCTATGATAGGATGTATGTGGAAAGCCTCAAAATCTTAGCCACTAACCAGGGAATGAACAAGAAAGTGAAGGAGCTTAGATTAGAGAAGGAACAGTTAGAGGACCGAGTTAGTGATCTCACCAGTAAGAATGAGATGTCCTCTAGGAGAGTAAGTGAGCTGTCTATCGTAAATGAGACCTTAGCTATTCAGGTTAAACACCTTGAGAGTGAGTTAGAGTTGTCTAGTCTCAGTTACTTGCCTTTTCTAGCAATTCTGAAAAGCTAGATAATATTCTAGGTATAGGCAAGCCGGCTGCTGATAGGGGAGGTCTAAGTTTTTATCTAAATGTTGCTAGTACATCACATACCACCTTTGTTCGTGCTACTGACCAACCAAACATTGTGACTAATCATATATCAAATGTTGTGGGAACTTCAGGACCTAGGTCTACCAGACGTCATAGGACCCGTCGGCCTAGGAATAGAAATCAGCGTAAGCATATCATAGGTCACAGGTTTGCCCCTACATGTTTTCACTGTGGGGAGTTAGGTCACATCCATCCTAGATGTCATCAGTACTTGAACAATAGGAAAGACTTGAGCCTGAAAAGGAACAAAAATCATGTGTCTGTTGGTCAGATTGGATTCCTTGCTGATCAAGTGAATCCTTTGACTCAATTGGTGACACAACTGTCTGGAAACAATCCTCGTTCTAGACAGATTTGGTGAACAACAAATCTCAACAAAAACACCTGATTTTCAGCAAATCACTCGCATCTCTAGAGACATAGGCAAGTGCCACTATAATAATATTTTATCTATAATTATTTGGTTTAATTTGATAACTGCTGACTGCAGTGGGAAAAAGAGATTGTTGATGTATGCCTGGACAGAGCGAGGAAGTTGGCTGATAATTGCAATGCTATTGGTACAGGTTCACTTCTTTTGGAACGTTTGTTCGTGGACTATGGCAAAAAGTCACCGTGGTAACATTCCAATAGTTGCTTCAATCCTCAACGTACTAAGATATCATGTTTAAAGTCACCGTGCTTAAAGTTAACGTTCTAATAGTCACGGGAGATATATGGCTTGTTGCCTGATGTACCCAAGGAAGTGAATGCTGTTGTCGCTACTATCAAAACAAAACGGACTAATTGGCAAGCTGAACATATAAATGCGTGTGCCTTTGTGTCTATATATTTTTAAATGACTGCTCGCAAGGTTTCCATTTGTTGTCCTTTTATGGCCATCCATCTGAAAATGACTTAACAGGTGTCAACAGGTGTCCGTCCAACTGGCTTTAAATGCGGTATCAACTAGTGGTTTCGAGGTGCAGCGAGCTATGTGCATGATACCGTAGCTCAAGTGTTTTCACGAATTGACCACAAGTTTGATCTGATGTATGCGAAGAGAGCCTTTGCTCCCTGGTATGTCAGCAGAGGAATGGAGGAAGGTGAGTTCAGTGAAATAGCTGCGCTTGAGAAAAATTACAAAGAAGTTGGTTTAGAAGACGGAGATTATTATTAATAATGTGGTTGGCCTCTCATAAGTTCTTCAAAATCACGGTGTTTGGGCTATTGTCTCTGTCTTGTCACGTGCTATTGTGTTTGCTGTACCATGATCAAGCTTTCTAATTCAAAAAATAAATAAATAAATAAATAAAAATATCTCATGAGACCCTCGGTCACGTCAGCGGTCAGCATGAGCAGTGCCAGTTGAACGATCAACATATCAATTGTTTCAAAAAATTATGTATCAACTCCGTCAGAGCATCTCCTAGAGTATTTTCCTATCAATTTTTTTTACTCTAAAGAAAAGGTTGAACCCCAGTCTTAAGGGCCCCCACTGTCTCACCCTTAGAGCTTTATGAAGGAGGTAAATCGTGGAATATGCCCAACAAAACAGGGAACAAGAGCTGCCTGTACACTGCACCCACAATTTTTTCTGTCAATTTTTCTTACTCTTCTTTTACTTTTGGTATAGAACCTATTTCGTATTGTTTAGAATAAAGAACATTATTCAAAAAAGGACGACTCATTAACTGAAATGGGAAAACATAAAACTGTACTACAAGATTTTTGGGGCAATGGAAATGCTCTCAAACTATTCGTATATATGTTTGAACTATTCCTCAGACTGAGAACTGAAGAAATTGCAAGGATTTTACTTGCAATTTAATGTTATAACCAAACAAAGCTCAAGCTGGAACAGTTGAATATTCGTCTTTAGATATAAACAAGCAGCTTCTGAAAAATGTCTTTCATTCTCAATAATTACAGAACTATAAAAGAAAAAGAAAAAAGGATGCTGCTTTATGAATACAGCTTTGAAATCATTGCACTAATGTAGCGTAGCGCACACATAGTTACAAGACAACCTAACCAAGGCACAATACCTGAACATTCAAATCGGAAAAGGACAATGCGATAAAACAGACTCCAAATCAGAAGCACGTAGCCTTAAGATGTCTGAAGTCTTTCCCATGTAAATGAAACCAAATATACAAAATCTTCAGTCCTGACACTGTAGTAGGATCTGCAGCAATCACACACACACAAAATAAAAAATAAAATTCATACAAACTGGCACAGAACTAAAAAAATGGTAACTAATCGCCAAGTTCGATATGCAATTCTTTTAATGATTTCTAAGCCCAGTTTTACAAATTGATTTGCAAACAGCCATCAAGGGAGGAGAGCGAATTCCACGGGCTAGCAGAATAGGGACATAATCATTATCAAGAGACGTGCAGTACAACAATGTTGCAACATAATTTCCTACAGAAATGAATGCAAAGCATGCACTTAGTGGGCTGGAAAAATTCTACATTATATTTCCCTTTTGAATTAAACAACCAACCAACTTCAACCCAGTAAGCATTTTGTTTGGTCCTTGTTGATGATCCAACCACATTTATATCTGAAAAATGTGCATGGCATTTGCCATAAGACATCAAACACTAAGCAAGATGAAACTGACCATAATCAGCATATATGTTATTGAAGAAAGGAACATGAAGATAAGCCATTCTTTCAAACCAAAAAAGCCACTGGTTTGACAAGAAAAACCATAAATGCACAAATTTCTTATTTTGCATATCTACAGGTGTAGAAAGGTACAATGGCATCAGTCCAATCAATCACAACCATGATCTTGATATCGTAAGCTTTCAGATGCAGAATCCACCCTCTCCATGTCTCCTGAAGTCCAAGATGCAAACTTTAGTTATTCTCCAAATGAAATGAGCAGTCAAAGGTCTAACTGGTGATCACACCTACCGTGGGGATCCATAAAACTGTTGGTATCGTTTGGTAGTATGGGAAGCCTACAGTAACTCTCCAATAATTCTGAAATGGCATAGAAGTGGGAGACACAAAACATGTCAAACAATAACTAATCACAATCTTTGATATGAAAATTCCACACCGACACCAACTGCATATGTATATATGACTATACATGTACTTTTATGTAGATAGGAAAGACAGCAAACCAGAACTACTGCAGAAATCAGCTGAGAAGTCTGGGAAACCAGAACTTAGAGGAATTTGCCCCAAAAATCCAAATGATGAATCATTTCCATCCAAAAGCATGTCATTCAGGGGCTGTGCACTCGGCTCAACGCTAGTGAAAGATGATACAGATGCATCACCCATCAGAGGACGTGATTCCATTAAATTGCTATGTGGACTCAAATAGAAAGGTGAACTACCAGCATAACCGGCTTCTGTTTTGACTATCTTCTCATTTATTGCTTGTGCCAATTCCACGTTCGAATGCTGACCCAAGAACAAGTTTGGCAAAACACCAGTCTTTCTGCCATGAGCAGATATATCAAGAGTTTCTTGCGCACAAGACTGGATGGACGATCCACAATTATTGAATGCATTTGGCTGCTGCATATCCTCTGTCGTCAGATAGACACACTAGTTAAACTCTGTAGAACAGGAAATATATTTCAACCCACTTAACGAGTCCCAATACCATAAAACAACATGCAAGGAGAGAGGGAGGACCATTATGGTCACAGATATTTTATACTGAAATCTTAGTTTATAGATAAAAAATGTGCACACTAGTGAAATAAAATATCTCAACTTCACTAAATAATTTGATATTATCACACACCATAAAGTTAAGTAATTTAGTAACAGGATTAAGTTTTGCGAAATTAACATCGTCCAAAAAAAATAAAAAAAAAACCTCCACCCTAGACCACATTAATATACTAATATTTTAAAACCAGAGAAGTCGTGTCACAAACTTAACTTTCTTAACATATTTAACTCTTCCAATAAGAAGAAAATCGTCTGGCACTTTCAAATGTTAAGAGTTACCCTAGATCAACACTAGCAAGTCCCACCTATTAAGAGACATCTCTGATGGATCATCCATGAGAACATAGAGATTCTCACTACATACTAATCTTGTTCTTTTTACCATTCTCTGTATCACTAGAGCAAGACGTGGCAGGCACTAGGTTGAGTCAAGTCATATACTGCCCCGGGTATAGTCTTTGACCGCAGCTTGCTGCACAACCAGCCTTTGTTGTGATCGTCTGAGTGACTAGCCTTCGGCACATCCCACCAAATAGGCATGATAACTAGCTCTGCCCATAAAAATATATCAATTCCTGCCATCAATCACCACTCTCTACCACCGACAATCAACAAGATCAAAGACAATCACTTTTGGTGAAGAATCAATCAGTCTTGAGAGAAGGGATATTAAGATTAGCTAGGGAATCTTTCCTTAATAATATTCAGTTATTCAACATTTTTATTCGGTTTACAGTTAAAATAGAGCTTTTCTTAATGAGGTGTGAATGAGATTTAATGCTTGGGGTTGAGTGCTTTTGTGTTTTTGATTTATCTTTGATTAAATATTATAGTTATATTAATGGATGGATACGAAATGACAGGTGCCCCAACCCATTTCTCAACAGAACAGATGACATCAATTTAGATCTAAACCCATCCAGTCGCCACCGCTAAGGAGCACCCTGCACGATGAGAAAAGAATACTAGAATACAGAGTACTGAAATGAGCACTACAACTTCTTCTCCTAGGGGATGGGAATGAGGCTGGAACATAAAGAATGTTTCCACTTGTTAAAGAATTGATTTATTATACGTTATGCATAATCTTTGAATATGATTGTCCAGAGCAATAGAAGTACTAATGAATTCGCAGAACATATTTACAATGGCAAACTTATCGGAAGTGGCCAAAAGGAATTCCTTGGTAGTCCTGAAACAAATAGCAAAGTTATTTTTGCTACAAGAAGTAACTGTTAAGAGAAGGGCACAAAATCTTTCGGAAGGATCATTGATAAGATAACGCCATAGCAGGTCCAAGAATACAACTTATTAATAAAACACATCCTTCAATAGCTCCAGTGTAAAGTAATGACCTATAGTATTTATCTTGCCCCCAGTGTTGCAAACCAGGTCACTACTTATTTCCATGGAATTAATTGAATGACATTTGTAATTTTGATACAGTAATGTTGACTGGACACAGGTCCATGCAATCTTAGAACATTTTCCTGTGAATAAATAGTGGAAAATGCTACAGAGAAACCTAGATATTATATGGATCCATTTACGACTTGTTTGTAAGCCAAGAAAGTAATTTAGGCAAGGCATATGCAAATTTACCCACACTACGACTGAGAAAGAGAAAAACAGTCGAAGCACTTTGATGTATTTTAGAAAGATGTCTTACTTGGTGATACATGAGATCCATTAGATGTGGGAATGGAGGCCAACCCAATTGAACCTGTTCGACACATCAGCTCCACCTGTTCCGAGAGCAACCTGTTGAATTCATTGATTTGTTCCTTCACCAATAACTTAAGGTAGTAAGCGCTGAAAAATCCTGGATATTGTTCTTCAAGCCTCCGCCAAACTGGAATACAGGTAGCAAGTTATACTAGCTAGAGGTGAAATAATTTAAAATAAAAGCCCTATGAAAATGCAATGTTATTATAATACCACCTGAAAGACATGATTAATTCAGAAAAAGGGAAACAAGAATTCTAAAGACATCAGAATAAATAAATAAATGAAAAGTGTGCTTTTAGATAAGATATGTTAAGCTTGGCTCCATTATGGGGCTTAATATTTTCTTAGAAACATGCTCTGAATGCAACACAATAAATGAATGATGGAACCTTTTAAATCACCTTCCAGTGTAAAATAACTAGCGTTGAAGCAAGTATTAACATTTAAAAAACATATAGAAAGGGAAAGTCAATGAATCTTTTGAATGGTAAGACAAAAATGACTTGAACTCCGTAGGAAATGCTACAAGAAAAAAATGATGCAGTTAGCAATGACAACGGGAAACTAGTCAAGTATCAGCAGCAGAAGAACACTACTGTCTAGAATGTTCAAAGTTCAAGAGCAAAATGATTGTTGTTGCAATTTCAAGTTTTCAACCCTCAACTTCGATAGATCCCCAAAGTGTCAAGGATGTGTATCAGTTAAAAACACGAATAAGAAACTACCTATATCAGTAAAACGAGGATCTATGTTGTCCTGCTTGATTAGTGTGTTCACTACTTCTTTCTTGTTCATGTAAAGCTGGAGACACCGTTCTATTCGATTTTCCACCTGAAATATTCACAGACCAAAGAAATAATAAGAAAACCGACATATACTGTCCAATTTAATGTTATTTTCTTGTTTCCTTTTCCCCTTATTGAAACGACAGTAAATTTTAAAATAATAATAATAATAATAATAATAATAATAATGGAATTACTATTTTTGAATGTACGAATAACATATAAAAACCCCTCAAAACATAAAAATCTATTAAAATCAGTCCAAATGTAAGAAAACATTTATTTGTTGTTACAAAAATCTAATAAGAACTTACATGATTTGACCTCAAAGTTTAAGTGAGGAAAGAATGATCCAAAAACCCTACATACCCTTTTTTTATTGTTTCTCATTTTACTTCATTTCGGCACTACAATTCAGCAATTCAACACATTTTTCATGAAGTAATACAACAGAATTCTTATGCTTTCCTAGTCCATCATAGCTTGTACGCAAAAATATATTACATGTGATGAAGCCATTGTTTTCGCAATCTATAGCTGCCCTTAATCTTTGAACAACCACTTTACTGATCACGGTAGCAATAAACTCACCTTTGGAGAAACAAAATTTATTGCTAATTCTCAGCAGATTATACCCAAGAGGAACACCACTTCCACATTTCATTTTTTCATTTTCATTCAAATACAATGATATTAATCTATTCATCAAAGTTCTGTACATGAAATCGTGTATGGCATAATTGGCATTTCAGTAAAACAAGATGCATACCAAAGCAAATAGCTGACAGTCTAATAACTCTGACTCGTTCATAATGAACTCATGACAAAAAAACATCATTTTATCATGGAAAGAACTCAAATGTTATCTATCACATAAGTTCACTGAGTTCAGAAACCAGAACTTATAGTAATAATGACTTGTGAAAGGATTGAAGACATTCCATTGGCCAGCTGGTGTAAGGGAGTGTTCTGTTGGTGTTAGTAAATGGATCACAATTACATGCACCTGGGAGAGTGTTATTACCTAGTAAACAATTTTACCCTTTGGATGTCAAAGAAAAACACTCCTTTCTTATTTCAAAAAAGAACAAGAGAATCAATATGGCTCAGACATCTTTAATATCTCTAAGGAAACAAATGAAAAAAAGTCTTTCTTAATAAAGAAAGTAGAAGTCTTAAGGTTATGCTAAAGTCGTCCTTGATTATTTTGAAAAATAAATGGTAGCTGTTTATTGGGAGAATCTTAATTTAACTGGGAAAATCAAATTAAAACAATATTCAAAGCACATATAACAAATAAAAATATATATTACCACATAGTTTCCAGTACTCATTTAACTTAAATGAAAAGGTGCAAAAAATGCTTAAAAAAATGCTACTCTGTGATTTATGAATTTCAGTCGAACATCACACATTTTCAGGCTGAGAAATATATGAGAATTTCTTTAAAAGTAATTATATTTAGAAAAAAGTGAAACAGAGATCAGGTCACTTCAGGACATAGATTATCCTACAACTGCCTAACATAGAGTGGGTAGGTACATTAAAGGAACTGTGATGCATAAACCATTAACATAAAATGCATTTTCACCACTTTCAAAAGTGATGATCAAACTCAAACCAAAAGCATTCATCCCTTCTCTTTTTGCCATCTTTTTTTTCTTGTTTACCTTTTCTTCTTACACAAAATCAGTATTGGTTTTCCAGCAGATATATGTTAAAATAAAATCAATGAACTCAAATGCTTACCAGTTTTATATCCTGCATCGAAATCCTTTTACCCTCCACATTAGACATCGTTCAAATTGCAAGCTTTCTGTGCACTCGGAGAAATAAAAAACCAGTTTCTTTCTGACACAATTCGTAAGCCAGCACCTATTCAAGGTCAAGCATAGTTTGACCATTAACGGGACTAAGTTTGAATTCATATATTGTACACTATCTATCAACTTAAGCTTTTAACTTAGGTGGTTCAACAAGATATGTTGATATCAAATCATGCAAAAAGCTGGTTCAAGGTCTTGCCACCACATATGTCCACATGTAAGGCATTGATCCGAAAATTAATATTTATGCAGGTAAGGGCATGCATTGCAGACTGCAATTAAAAAAATAATTGCATCATCTTTATAGCAGTCTAAGCATAAGATACTTCCACAAGAAGCAGCTTTCGTCTATATAATACTAGCCTTTAAGAAATCTTGATCATTTAATCCACCAGTTTTTCTCCACTCAAGAAACAAAAAGGAAAGCAAGAAAAAGCCATTTTTCCTTTTCGTTTCAAAGGGTTTTGAGGTTATCAAAAGAATGAATAACGGAATAGCCAGCACATACAATAAAAAGATTCAATCTTTCCCTAGAAATTACAGAGGCAAAATACTATTTCTCCTAATTTAACTAAATTTCTTCAATTTATGATCGAATATCTTTCCTTTCTATTCCTTTATCCCTTTGCACTTAATAAGTAAAGGGTTTCAAGTTTCAGAATTAATTAATAACAAAGATAAACATTCGATCAACGAAAAATCAATACTTTACTCAGTTATATCCATAAAATAAAATTATAAACAACAGCAAACAGAAAAATTGCAAAAAGGGAGGAAAAGAAAAAGGGACTTCAAGAACGATTATACGCATGTAATACGCAGTATATACTAAACATAAACAAAAATGATACACCCGGTAAATATTTTAGCATGAAAACGAAAACCCAGTATAATAAATGTTTATTTAACAAAAGAACATGGATCAACGAGCTGGGCGTATCATTTTCTATGATGTTTCACTTACCTGATTTAATTAAGAATTGAACTTTCACCAATAAATGAAACTGAGCTGAAAACAGAAAAGGGATTAACAGCTATAAATGAATCTGTCGATACATGATTGTGGAGGGTTTAGAAGTCTGATTTCATTTCATGCAGTAGAAGTGATCGATTCAAATGTTTCCTCGTTTTATTGTCGAAAGGGAAAGGTGAGGTGATGACGTGGCTAAATGCCCATTACTTGCTCTGCTTTGTGCTTTTCATGAGATAATTGTTCCAATACTCAGCGGACTTGTGTATATATCTTTAATTGGTCATTGAAATTCAAAATGTCGAATTTTGATTACTGAATTTAGGTCTTTATCTTTCATTGTTCATTAAAATTTAAAATGTTGAGTTTTGACCACTAAATTTTGAAAAATATCGTACGTCACTCACTAGTATAATTGTTTAATTTTGAAAAATATCGAAATTATAGTGAGTAGTGTATAGTATTTTTCAAAGTTCAGTAAGTAATATACAATATTTTTCAAAATTTAGTGGTCAAAACTCGACATTTTAAGTTTCAGTGAGCAATCGAAGACATGAATCTAAGTTCAGTGACCAAAATTCGATATTTTAAATTTCAGTGACCAATCAAAGATACAGACCTTAGTTTAATGACCATTGAAATAATTAACTCGCTTTTCATTCGTGTAATTCCACTTCCAATTTCGCCTTTTTTCTCCTACAATTTTGTGAATTTTTTTCGAAAAAGTGAGAAAGTGTAACTGTGTAAACTGTAATCTGCTGCTCCTTATAATTGAGTGCCTTCTGCTCCTGTTGGTCCTCTCTTTTGTGCCCAAAGAGATAAATGACTGTTTAGATTTTTTCTCTTATCAGTAATAATATTTTATGTTTATTGTTGACCCCAAAAAATGTTGTCAACAGATGTCGAACCCACTCGCGCACGCGTGAGCGAAGGTTCTACACGTTAAGACACGTGGACGGTCTAGGACGAAAGAATCAGGGGCGTGGGAGTAGCTCAACGACGCGGGACGAGAACGTTCGGAATCCGATAAGATGTTCGTAATCTGATTGTACAATAATTACCAATCGGTGCTCATGAATGTGAATGTAAATATATATGAATTCGTATTATGTTGTAAAGCAATATGAAAGAGAGAGTAAAGTGTGGTTTCTTGTATTGATTCTTGCATTAGTCCTTTAATGTTACACAAGGGAAGTATTTATAGTGGTACATGTGAAATGGCAGCCATTGGATGAGGTGGCACGTGGCCTCATCTCTTTAATTCAAACATCCAATCCTAGGCATCATCCTTGACTTGCTAGCTTGCTGCGCATTTATTGCTTATGCAGAACCCCCATGCTAATGACAAGACTTGATATGTATACTTATGACAAACGTTCCATCAATCATTCTAACAAGATATTTACATAGAAGATCTCTTGGGAGAAGTGATCATGGAAGACGTTCCTTTATGGCTCGAAGGGTTCTGCTTCGACTTCGGATTCGAGGCTTCTGCCACTTACGTAGTACTTCCGCTTTAGGACTTCGGCTATCTTCACAGGCCTCGGCCATACAAACCACCTCGGCTAGAGCGCCACGTGGTTCGAATTGAGTGGGTCATAGGCCCAAGTAGGTTGGCCAAGTATGACAACACGTAACAATAGTCCCCCAAGTCCAAGTATAGTCATTTATGTAATACGTGAACTTCAATGAAGTAAAGCCAGCGGGTTGGGTAAAAATTGAAAGAATTTTTGAACCATAAATAATAGTCCACCAAGTCCAAGTATAGATATTTATATCATGGTTGGAGTTAGAAATGTGTTGTTGGGGGTGAATGATGAAGAAGCAGAGGTGGTGGCATGAACTAAATGTGCGAGGCCTGCGAGACCTGGAAGATGGAGATGAGCCGAGGTGGTTGGAAAATCGAACGTACGAGGCTTGATGGCTGAATGTTGAAGATGAAGCCAAGGTTCATTGATAATAATTGTTCCTTGGTAGTTGTGCCAATGATTTGATATTTTGCGCATGTTTTTGAGGAAAGGTAGCTGAACCGTTGCAACTTCCAAGGCGCCTGTTGCCGCCGAATTAAAATCGTAATTATTAGAACAGCTAGAGCTTCTAGAAGCAGATGCGTTGGCTGAGGTGCGTGGGAAACACGCTAAAATCTGAGGTGTAGATTTGAAAAATCGTTTAAATTCTACGCCTCGGATTTGATTTAAAATGAAGGGTTCAGATTGAATGAGCTTCGATCTGACAGTGGGGATTCGTCCCGGCCCTTTATAAAAGGCGAGAGAACTCCCTTTTTCTAAATTTTCCAGCATTTGCAATATGATTTTCTCTCTTAGAACTTAAACATTCCGGTGTTTGGGCTATTCGTTCACTGCTTTTCCGACAGTTTCTGGTCGCGTAGTATTTCAGTAGGTATTTTTCACAGAAAATCCTCCTTTTATTGCGTTCTTAGTTGCTTTCTGAGATGGAGTCGACTTCGAGTAGGGAGTTCGTCACTCGTTTGGTCGAAGGCCTAGTTACAGGGGGGACTCTAAGGTTGATCAGATTACTATGACCGAGGAGGAAGTAGATTACAATGTAGAGTGGGGGCGTCTAGAGTCCCTTCGAATATGATGTCGAAGAGGTTGGAGGAGATAAGGGAGAGGTACTGTGTACCTCATTATGTGGAGATGTTGGTACCCGAGGCCCATGAGCGAGCTTGTTATCCTAGCCCTGGGTGCGTGGTGATGAGCAAATACTTGTTAAAGGCAGGTATGCGTCTTCCTCTGCACCCCTTCTTCAGAGTTGTGCTGTGGAATTTCATGTTGTCGCCGACCCAGGTTCTACCAAAATGGGTAGAGCCAGTTGGTCGGCTCGTACTTCCTGTGGAAGGAAGTGTCGTTTGGGGAAGACATGCCTCTTCACGCTTTCATGACCCTATTCCAGCCTAGGGTAATAGGTAAGGAGTCGAAGGGGTGGTGTTGTCACACTAAAAGTGCAGCCCAAATCAAATAGTCCAAAGAGTGAAACCCAATTAGGGAGTCCAGGATAAAGGTCCAAATATGATTATTAAGGAATGCGATGGAAGACCACGAACATGGTAACATCATCGCCCAAACTTGCAAGACACCCAGAATCTGAGCGAATGGAGTACCTTACGGTCGCCCAGAGCGATGACCCCGTTCTCGCCCAAACCTTCAAATCACCCAGGATCTTAGCAAGCATAAAATATTATGGTTATCCAGAATAGCAGTTGTTGAAGTAGTTATTGAGTGATCTTATCACATTCCACGATTCAAGGAGTCCAGTTGAAGGCGGTTGAACGACAAAGAGTAATGGCAACAGTTAGAGACGGTAGTTCCATGACTAGTTAGCCACCATAAAGAAAGTGGGTAGTTATACAGCAATCAAGCAGTTTCCTAGTGGTTTGCCACGAAAAAATAATCAAGGGAATATAAAAGGAAGAGAAGACATAGAGAAAAGGACCCCGAATCAAATACTCTCAAACAGAGAATATGTAATTTCAATTCCTTAGTTTAAACTTAAACATTTCTTTTAGTACTCGTGTGCTTGCAACCCTTGGAGGCATTCTGTTTAGTTCCAATTGTAAATCATCACCAATAAAACACCCATTTTTGGGACTTTGTCTCGAGAGGTCCGTTCCTTAAACAATCGTCTGATCCATTTTTTAATTGTTAGCGACTATCCACACGAACCAATTTGGCACGTCCAGTGGGACCTTGGTGTTTGGTGTTGAAGATACAAAAGGTGAAACAATATGCCTCACAAATCTGATAAGGAAGCAGCAAGTCAGGGAGGAGTCCAGTATGTGATCGAGCGATATGAGGAGCGGCAAACTCTCCACGAACTGAGGGAAGAGTCAGAGTAGTCACAGTCGTTACGAACCAATGACAGAGTTGAGTCCTCGAACCATGCGTGCATTGCTTGGAAAACTCACACAGGATGTCGTTGAACAGGTAAATCTACGAAATGTTCATAATATGGAAAGATTTACCCAGAATGGGAATGCACATTATAACAACATGGTCAAACAATTGAATACATTAAATGAAATAATGAATAAGTTAGTAGGCCAAATTTGTCAACCAGTTGTGCCTATTGCAAATCACTTTCAAACTAGGACAATCGTGGACATAATTCCCTAGTTCTAAGTCCAAATCAGGGGATAGAACCACCTTTCTATCCACCTACTTCAAACCAGGGGGATGGTGTAAGACCAAATCAGAATAATGGTAATGGTAACCTAAATATAAGAGACAATGTCCTAAATAATGGACAGAATATCCTACGTGTCAATGATGAAATAAATATTCAGGCTAATGGTAACAATGGCCCAAATCATGGCAACTTTGTTACCAACCAAGGACCAAACATCAGGCCTCAGGCAAATCAACCGACCAACCGACCTATAGGAATTCCATATGACCTCAACGTCATGTTGAGAAATCAAATTATGGAATTAGTACAGGATCAAATGGCTTTTGGGGTACGTCCTGTCATTAGGTCGACTTACACAAAGTCATATCCTGATTGGGTAGACCAAGCATATCAATGGCCTAGAGGATATAAAGTGCCAGAATTCTCATTATTTACTGGTTTAGGAGAGGTGTCTACTCTAGAACACATAGGACGATTCACACTGCAAAGTGGTGAAGTAACCGGCTACCATAAAATGAGGTTGTTCCCTAGTTCATTAACAGGAGTAGCTTTCTCTTGGTTCATCAATTTGCCAACAAACTTTGTTCAAACATGGCAATAATTGGAGCAATTGTTCCATGCTCAGTTTTATAAGATTGAGTCTGAAGTTACTTTGGCCGATTTGGCGAATCTACGTCAAATGTCGAACGAATGGGCAGAAGGTTTCCTTCAAAGGTTCAAGACAGCAAGAAGTAAATGTTTTGTACCTTTGCCCGAAAAGGAGTTTGTCAAAATCGCTCAAAGTTATCTAAGCTTTGATTTGAAAAAAAAATTCCAAGACAGGGAATTTTCTGATCTTTTCCAATTGAGCGCAAACGTGATTAGATATGAAGGATTAATAAGAAAAGAAGAACAAATGAAAAATTCTAGCAAGTGGACTTATTATAGAGACCCAAAATTTGATGTTCATACCATTAATGACGAGTATTACGATCAAACCGAAATGTGTTTGGCCGAATTAATCAAAGGAGACGCGCATACTTGTCCTATAATGGCTAAGCCTAGATCGTCGAGCAAGGATGATCCTA